AAATCTGTCTTTTCACAAATACCAACTTTGGCAAGTCCTTACACCTTTACTATACGTAGCAGAAAGACCAAACTCACACAGTTTGTCGATGACTCAGTGCTGTTACCACAATCAGACGATTCTGGCGAACGAGATCTGTATACGGACTGGATATCAAAGCCTGTCTAAATTCCCCATATTTCGTCACCCAAAGTTTGACGCCCTATAGCTACTTCTTTCATGGGGTGGGTTTAAAAAATTTATGCTCACGTGAACAAGCAACCTCCCAACATTTGATACAAAAAATAAAAATGACCGGAATCGACTTAACAAAAACTAGGTAAAGCAAACAATAACCCATGAAATTAATCTGTAATTTCCCTATTTTGGAGATAATTAACCTTAGTAGATGAAAAAATCCTAACAATTTATTTTCCTTTTCATTCATATGGTGTTTACTACCAGCCCTAAAATACATTAGTATCTGTTTTATAAAAATATCTTGGAAAAAAATACTTTCAAAGGCCTGTAATCGTTCATGGCTCATCTGGCGTCGACGTGAATTGACTTCCGCAGTTGTCCACGACCTTCCATTGGAGTTTCGACGTGCTCAATCTTAACAAACATATCCATTACTCTCAAATAGACCTTATTTTAAATAAAATAATCCAACGAAAATGAAAAATTCACCTAAAAGTGAGATTCGAACCACCAACCCCATGACTTCCCCCGACCCACCCTCTCACCGAATTGCTTGTCCCAGGGCCCATGTCGTGGGCCCTGTTCAGGGGGTGTGCCTAGGGCCTCTCTTATTCTAAATCCGGCCCTGAAGGTGCAGCTGACGGTGCCCGAGAGTTGTAGCTACCATAGTACACTGTTCAATGTCACCCACTTCGACGCCATTAGGCTTCGTTGCCGTTAATATTTAAGCTTCCACATTTCTGTATTGTAGAAATCAGTGGATGTGTCCCAAAATGAATAGTGGAAACATGCTTTGAAATTAAACATTTTGTAGCCATTTTCGGTAACTTGTTTGAAAATGAAATCTTAAAGAGACAATACAACAAATATGTTAAAGGGACAATACGACAATACCAAATATACAATAAATACAAATACACACTTATATAGAGTACAACATGGTACAAATAATGGCTATGGATATGATGAAAACGTATAAAAGTCAAATATTTTATTTCTCTAATTAAATTTGCAAAAAAATGTATCATAAAAAGCTTATTTTTAGCACTTTTCAATAAGCTGTTTATTTTAAGTATGTTGCATTCCGGTCATTTTTGTTACACTTATGGATACTATGTGATTAGCACTTTAAAACCATCCAAAGAAATTCTACTTGCGACCACGAAAGAAAAAGTTACAGTGTATCTTTTTCTGCACTATAAGGACAATGTGAATATGGTACCCTAAAACAAGTCCACACAAAATTAGTATGTACTGATTTTTTTTTTCAAATTAGTGCTGGGGTAGAAGTTGACCACCCGCTTTATCAGACAGGGTCAAAATTAAAAGGTTGCTATTCCACCATAGAATGCAGTCTGTGCTTAAAAAGGGTGATAAATACACATGTGAAAACCGCAATTTTACCCATAAAATGAATAATTCCTGTACAGTCCTTTAGAGCGACATCAGACTGTAACCACTTCAGCATGTTACCTCTTGCCCCTAGGGGGTGTCATACCATAAGTTTGATCAAAAACTTCCAACCCCCCATCTTAGCACTTTTTGCGATTTTTGCATGGTCTTCTCGCGGATACACTCTTAACACCCTAAATAATCGCCATACTACTCCACATCCGGCTAGCAATATTTCAACTACCAATTACCTCCTGATTGATTGGCGTTTTTTCACCAACAGTTTACTGAAAGTAGTATTGCTACCTAATTATTCTATCTGATCAGGTACACATTATTTTACTAATTAGACTAAATAAGTAAACCACTGTGTACTTTTGCTCTAAAAATAAGAAACAACTGCCTTACCCTAAACAATAACAAATCTGCCAACAACACCAACCAATTCTTTCTATGTTGTTGACCCTAACATCAAGGGACATAACTACTTCACAAGATGGTGAATATTTTGAAGTAAAAGCATACTTCTTTGATGGAGAGAACAACAGTTTTATTGCTGCTTTGGATATATTTTGGAACGATAATACCAGACTTTATAATACTAAACATTTCAAGAAATAAGAAGAAAAAAAATTTGTGTTGGTAGATTTGTTATTATTTTGGGTAATGCAGTTTTTCTCATATTTTTTTAGAGCAAAAGTACACCGTGATTTACTTATTTCGTCTAATTAGTAAAATAATATGTACATGATCAGACATAATAATTGTGTAGCAATAATATTTTCAGTAAACTGAAAGTGAAAAAACGTCAATCAATCAGCTGAAATATTGCTAGCCGGATGTGGACAGTGTGGTTGACAAGGCATGAACTGGGTGTGGGCGTGGCCTGCCTCTTATTTTTGTATGCCGTACAATGGCGATTATTTAGGGTGTTAATTTTTTTATTTAATTATTTCTGTAGTTTTGTAATCGGGGTTCAGCTTTAATAAGTATATTAATATGGATGAATAAGCATACTTAATATGCATGAATGAGTGTCACATGAAACGAAAAACAGAGCTATGAAGTACATGGGTGATTAATTATGTATTCTGGTAGATGGATTAATAAAATGACTAGTCGTGTATGAATGAATATGGAACCCCTACCCTCATCAGTTTATTTGCTTTATGTAAAATGAAATGCAATGGGGGTTTAACGGCCTATTTTTCTGCTTCGACTGGACTAATGAAGACGTGTCGTTTTGTGTAAGATATCTTATTGTTGGCAACAATAGAGCATGAATCAAAACTTTTTAATTATTGGAGTGTAATAAATAATTGCTACCAGTGTAAAACAAATAGAAACGCAGGAAGGGACATAACTCTCACATGAACTATTTCAGCCAACGTTTGGGAGTGACTGGCGGAATTTTTAATTTTAAATTTCTGTCATGCGATACCCCCTAAACTGAATCTTTTTAGGGATAGATCACTGTTTCAGTTTCCGAGCTTTTTCTTTAAAAAAAAGCAATTCCTAAATAGTTTTACATTTTATAATTTATAAATATGTTATAGATGTTTGTATATTTTATAGATGTTTGTATTTTATAAATGTTTTTAAATATCATAGATGTTTGTATTTTATAAATGTTTTTAAATATCATAGGTTTTTAAATATCATAGATGTTTGTATTTTATAAATGTTTTTAAATATCATATAGATGTTTGTATTTTATAAATGTTTTTAAATTTCATGGTTGTTTATAAATTCCATGGATGTTTTTATTATTTTATAAATGTTATTAAATTTCATGGATGTTTTTATTATTTTATAAATGTTTTTAAATTTCATAGGTGTTTTTATTATTTTATAATTTTTTTAAATATTTAATAATTATTTCTATTTCTTATATTTCTTAAAGATATTTTTTTATATTTATTTCTTTTTTTACATTTATCAGGTATTTTCTATTTCGAAAATATAATTTCTTAAATATTGTTTTTTTTCCCCCGCATTTCTAAGAAAGCAGGTGACTATTAAAATGGGTCTGTCCGTCTGACTGTAAGTCCTTCTCTCTGCCGTCATACTTTTTGAGACACAATAACACTTCTTCTAAATGAGTTAGAATGTTCAATCTTGGTGTAGGTGTGTATTAGGTGTCAGGTGAATACCTTGATGGAATTCGGAGACGAGCATCTTCTGCTGAGGGTAAGCAGAGATACGCAATTTGATTGGTGGACGTATTGAGACACGATAACTTTAGTTGTAATTAAGTGAGAATGATGAAACATGGTGTATTGTTTCATTACATCGATATTTGAACTATATTCGATAATGAGCATTTTCGCCTTAGGCAAATTGGGGGGTTGGATGGCTGAATGGTTAGGGTGTATCATAAAGTCTGTCATTGAGTCGACTGGCGTGGTTTCGAATCCCCGGTTGTACGTGACTAGGGGTAGGGTCGCCTGTCCAACCTCGTGGGTTTTCTCCGGGTCCTCCGGTTTCCCCCCACTGCTAAAGACCCCTATGAGCAAGCGAATTATTGAAATAAAATTAAACCATATGTTAGTCCCGAAATGACCTAGTTTGTGTCGAGTGGACGTTAAACCCCATTTCTCTCCCTCTCTCTCCCTTAGGCAAATTAGAGACTTCAATCTGATTGAACACAATAATTCTTCTTTTAATTGAGGTAGAATCTTCAAACTTGGTGTAGGGGTTTATTAGGTGATTGCCCTGACAGAGTTCAATCATGCACATTCTCCACTAAGGCTAAGGAGATAAGCAATTAGATTGGTTGAGGCTTTGGAACACGATATAAACTTTGGTTTTAATTGGGTGAGTGCGATAAAACTCCGAGTATAAATTCCTTACCTCAATACTTTGACTATGTTCGATGAAGAGAATTTGATTGGTCGAGACTTTGTAACATAACAACTTGGCTTTTAATTGATGCAGAAGGTTTAAACTTGATGTAGATGCTTATTAGGTGAATTTTTTGACTGACTTCAATGATTAACATTTCCCGCTAAGGCTAAGAAGAGCTAAGCAATTTCTTTGGTCGATGCTTTGGGACAAGATAACTTTGATTGAAAGTAATGGAGAGTGATGAAAATTAGTGTATAGTTTCACTACAAGATACTTGACTGAGTTTGATAGTGAACATTTTACGCTTAGAGGTGGATTGAATGGCCGAATGGTTAGCGCGTGCGCGCTGTATCATTAGGTCTGGCGTGGTTTCGATTCCCCGGTTGTACGAGACAATGATTACGGTCACCTGTCCGACCTCGTGAGTTTTCTTCGGGTCCTCTGACCTAGTTTTGTCGAGTGGCCGTTAAACCCCATCTCTCTCTCTCTCTCTCTCTCTCTCTCTGTTTACAGAATTTCAAGTGTTAAAAATAAACACACACACATCTACAGTGTGCACAGGAACCCGAATAGCACGCGCGTTCTACACCTGTTATATGTATGATGCTGGCAGGGCGCCATTAGACACAGCAAAAATATAACAAAGAATAAAGGAATAAAAAAGGAGGAATAAAGGTGAAAGAATGAGAGAGATTGTTCATATTCAGGCTGGACAATGTGGAAACCAGATCGGATCCAAGGTAGATATAAACTTACTTAGACGTTTAAACAATTTCTGATTCTTTATAGCACAAAGGCTTGTGTAGGAATTTTACCCCGCATTCCCGACTATATTCAACTATATAACACATGCGAAATGATATGAATACAAGGTTAGGTCGAACAATATAACCACATATTGTGAGATAAAGGGCACCTTATTTAATTTTCGAGCTAGATTTCCGCCTTGTCACTGGTGCAGGACAGGGGCGGGGGGGGGGGGGCAGAGGGTATGTCAAGGTAAACTGTCTGGTTATTCGGATGGGCAAAAAAAACGAGATCCCGTGTATACCATTGGTAGGGGATCTAAATAGGAAGAGGGTCGTATCCCCGGGCGAGCCACCCGGTGGCTAAGTAAATAAGACGCTGGCTTGATAGTCTGGAGGTCGCTGGTTCGCTCCCAGTGTTGGCCGAGAAAGTTCATCCAGATTTTCCGGCGTGGTTTTCTCTTGTCAGTGGTGCAGGACGGAAGGTCTGACAAGGGCAGTTGTCTAGTCGTTTGGATGGTACGAAAAACCGAGGCCCCGCGTAGACATTGGCGTGCACGTAAAAGATTCCTTGGTGGTTGGAATTCGATATAAGAGTAGCCGTAGTGCCTCTGTGCCGGCAAAATTTCTCTCATAGCACACTGCATGGCGTATGCCCGTCTTCATTAGCCCAATCGGAGCAGAGCAGTAGGACGTTAAACTCCATTTCATTTCACCATAAACCAGCTGTTAGAGATAAACTCTCGTATGTCCGTCCACAACGCAGTCGTTGCAGAAAAGTTAAACCCCATTTCATGACATCTCTATTATTTAAAAGGATATGATGTAATATCGAGATAAAGAGCCGGCCGTTCCAGCTGAACGTTGCATTTCCAGATGCAAACGAGTACATGGGAACCTCAAAATAGTTCTGCTGTTTTTATTAAATGCATAGAATGTAATTATTTTGACAAGAACTTGAAGAGATAGCTTCTGGTTTTAGATTAACGTATCAGATTTCATTTTACTGAACAGTAAAACCACAGCTGTTGTGGATAGGAGTAGACTTGTGTATATTCAAGTTGAAGTATGCAGTTGTTACAGGCCACGTGATTACGATAAGCTTTTCCCCAAACACTGCCGTATCGTTGATATGTTTTCAGGGAAAATGTTGCAGATGTCAATGATATTTTATTGTTGTATTTTCTCATTAGGTTTATAATCTTAAGACAAGCAACAGAGACAGTGTGGCTAGGCTCCTAATTATAGATGTCGACGTAATATGAAATGAAATGAAATGAAATGGGGTTTAACGTCCTACTGTTCTGCTCCGAACTGGGCTAATGAAGGGTAATTTTGCCCGGACAGCGACACTACAGCCTACGCTTATATCGAATTTCAACTGTCAAAGGATCTTTTATGTGCACGCTAATGTGTACACGGGACCTCGGTTTTTCGTCCCATACGAATGACCAGAAAGTTGTCCTTGTCAGGCCCCCGTCCTGCATCATTGACAAGCTGAACCACGCCGGACAATCTGGATGAACTTTCTTGGCCACTGCAGGGATCGAACACCCGACCGCCTGGCTTGCGAGCCAGCGTCTTACCCACTTAGCCCCCCCCCCTCCAACTCGATGTAATATAATCGTGTTGTAGAATAGCATGCACAAAAGGTTAAATCCCCAATTAACAAAAAGTGTTGATAATAATTATATCATAACCCAATAATTAACCACAACTCATTTAGATGATGGAAAATATTTAACTCATCATAATTTGTAAATATAAAAAAGGTTAAACCATTTCAGGATAGATAATCCTTTTAGAGGTTCAACTTTCATATTATTGTAGTTTATAATGGATTAAGGATTAAATACGCCTAAAAAACGTTCAGATACTTTAACAAATAATTAGATATAAACCACAACTCATTTAGTTGATGGAGTAGCTCACTAACAAGTCGTGGAATGTGCAAAAAAAAAAACCCCAAAAAAACAAATGAGTCATCTCAAACACATTTATCTCATTACAAGAAAAAGATTACCTTGACATTTGGCACTTTGTGTTTATGTCGTTATAACAAACATTGGCAACAACTTTAATGGGGCATTATGGGAGATTAGGTAAAGAGCTGGCAGTTCTCACTACAAAAGATTTCAATCAAATTGATTCACTCTGAACCGAAAAATATCGCAGGCTAGCGATGGCATCGAGGGTTGATTATGGTCTGGATAAGTTAATTTATGTCTAATTAATAATTTAGATAACATTTCAGGCTCAAAGAAAGACCTGCAATAGGCAGATTTAGCTCTTGCATAATGTATGTTTAAAATATACTATTTTAAAATAAGATAAATCTGTCTGTTTCAGTTTACAATTAATTAGGTCAAAATAAATTATTTAATTAGTATGAAATATTTTATTAGATTAACATAAGACATCTTTTCTTGTACATATTTTGAATATAAACTCGTAAAACACTATAATAACATAGACGTTTGCCTGTAATCTTTGACAATTATTATAAACCACAAAAATAATATTTGCAATTGATGGTTATTTTTTTATGATAATTGAGAACCGTGTTTTATTTCCTGGTTTTTGAATGTTATAATTGATGAAAATGTTTTATTTTCTAGTCTTAGGAAATGATAATTAACGAGTGTGTTTTATTTTCTAGTTTTTGAATGTTATAATTAATGAAATGTTTTATTTTCTAGTTTTGGGAAATTATAATTGAGGACAGTGTTTTATTTTCTAGTTTTGGGAAGTTATAAGTGATGAACACGGGATAGACCCAACAGGAACGTATCATGGTAATAGTCAACTCCAGTTGGATAGGATCAGCGTTTATTTTAACCAAGCTACAGGTAATTATAATTATTCAGCCATCCATCCATCCATCCATCCAGCGGTAGGTTATAAGGTCCGACATTGAGGCAAGTGGCAAGGTTTCGATTCCCTGCTGGTACTTGGCGAGGAGTAGGGTAGCCTGTCCAACTGATCCCCCGCCCCCAGCTAAAAATACCTACACACAAGCTAACCTTTAATTATATCGTCTCTTTAATATATGTATATATGCTATATCAAAATATCATGTTGACCTACTCTTTGGATGGAAATTTACTCGATGTTTAAAGGGGTGTTCCATCTGTTTCTAACAAAAGATGGATAATGATGGCATATACTCGGGTGCTACGGAGGCTGACTAACCGGGATGTCTACGGGTTATAATTCGATAGAATACAATTACTGCTTATTCAGCCATCCATCCAGCCGTAGGTCATAAGGTCCGTCATCTCGATTCCCTACATGTACGTGGCGAGGAGTAGGGTAGCCTGTCCAACTGCGTTGGTATTCTAAGGGTCCTCTGATTTCCCCCATACAGCTAAAAATACCTACACACAAGCTAACCTTTAATTATATCATCTCTTTAATATATGTATATATGTTATATCAAAATATCATGTTGACCTACTATTTGGATGGAAATTTACTCGATGTTTAAAGGGGTGTTCCATCTGTTTCTAACAAAAGATGGATAATGATGGCATATACTCGGGTGTTACGGAGGCTGACTAACCGGGATGTCTACAGGTTACAATTCTATGGAATACAATTACTGCTTATTACTGAGCGACGTTTCCACTAGACTTCTCTAGTCATTATCAAGCTGATCAGTAATAAGCAATAATTGTATTCCATAGAATTGTGACCTGTATACTGCAGTTCAATTACTAAATGCCATTGACACAATTTAACCAGGATGTCGTAGGTTCAATCCCGGTGTTGGTTAACATAGTTCCTTAGGATTTACCAGCCGCATTCGGCCTTTGGTTCAGGGCCTGGCAAGGGCAAAAATGTGTCTCGTCGTTCGGATTGTACGAAAAAGCGAGTTTCTCCCCAGTACTCGTTGATGTGCAGGTAAAAGAACCATTGACATAATGAAGTCACTGCAATGCATATTGGTGCAGAAAAGTAGGACGTTAAATCTCTACAGGGATCAACTTCTACGTGCTCCCGTTGACGTACTGCCCTTAATAAAAGAGCATTTCCGCGATGTCATCAATATTTCCAGAAATTTCAATATGGTCTCCCCGACATAAGTGATGCTCTTTTAGTGAATCGGTCGAATTAGTTTATTTTGTTTGTCAGAAGTAACAGTTAGCTTTGTTTAAATTAAAACTGGCAATTTTTGTTGAGGTTCCACCAACCACGACATGAACGCAGCCATTAATTTATTTAAGGGTTTCAACGGCGTTGTCTAGAACGTTTTTAAAAGTTGACTCTGATCTCAGACTTGTTCTCGTGTCCCCGGTGACTTCAACGTTAAATTTGTGCTATTTCTTGGCCTGTGTCATTTTGTTTTGAACATTTCTATGATCTATATCTTTATAACCACAATATGCCAAACGTCATTTTCTGACATGAATATTGAGTGAGGTTGGCACTCTCTTTTTTTCTATGTCCGGTCAATGTACGCGATTTCCTTGATTCTTGTTTTGTGGTTTCGATTCCTTGGTTGTACGTGACAAGCAGTAGGGTTGCCTGTCCAATCTCCTGAGTTTTCTCCGGGTCCTCTGGTTTCCTCCCACTGCTAAAAACACCTACGCGCAAGCGAATTGTTGAAATAAAATTGTACCATACATATATGTTAGTCGCGAAATGATCTGATTTGTGTCGCGTAGACGATAAACCCCATCTCTCTCTCTCTCTCTCTCTCTCTCTCTCTCTCTCTCTCTCTTCGATTCTAGACCACAAAGTCTACTGAAAGCGTATCATGAATCGGGGGATCCAGTTGTTAATGATGAAATCATGGGAATTACTAATCATAAAATCACGAGAACAATTATTAATCATGAAATCGTGGGGGAACAATTACTGATCATAAAATCAGGGGAACAATTACTTGTCCTGAAATCGGGGAGGCAATTACTAATCATGATACTATGTTAACGTTTATTAATTATAATGGAATCGGAAGAGCCCATTACTAATCGTGAAATTTTGGGGACACAATAATCTTAGCATGAAATCAGGGGAAGTAATTACTAAACGTGGTATCATAGAAACAATTACTAATAATGGGAACATACTAAAATGAAATCAGAAGACTCATCATGAAATCAGAGGAAGCGATTACAAATTAAGAAAGCAATTAGTAATCATGAAATCGGGGGAGGCAATTAATCATAAATTATGGAAAGCAATTAATAATCAGGAAATCTGGAAAGCAATTACTAATAATGAAATCGGGCAAAGCATTTACCTGTAAGAGTCCTGTGTCGACTATTTGGGCATTCTCCTTTAATATTTAGGTATTACGTACTTTATTTAATGGGTGCCATATGTCATGTGTTTTGGGGATTTTTTTTACTTTGTGACAAGTTTGTTCTTTTTCATGTGTAAATATGTAAAATATTCACAACCTGTTACTCTAGCGTAGCTGTTTGTTGTTTAAAAGAAACAGGTTATAATTTAACTGACATGTACATATACTTACTGACATGTCATTAACTTTACAAGTAGCATTACCACTCTACTACATATTGTAGTTTAGTCTGAAATCGTTAAAGCGTCTACCGACAACATCCAACAATAAACAGCAATAAAGTAAAGAAACGCAAGATATGTAAAAGAATAAGAAATTAACAAAAAATTACCCACCATATTGATTCTAAAATTAGCAGTAAAACGTAATAAAATAAGAGAGAGAGAGAAATGGGGTTTAACGTCCACTCATTTCGGGACTAACACATGGTTCAATTTTATTTGCGCGTATGGGTCTTTAGCAGAGGGAGGAAACCGGAGGACCCGGAAAAAACCCCACGAGGTTGGACAGGCGACCCTATTCCTTGCCACGTACAACCGGGGATTCGACACCACGCCAGTAGACTCAATGACAGACTTTATGATACAGCACGCACGTGCTAACCATTCAGCCATTCAACCCCCCGTAATAAAATAAAGAAACGCAAGAAATGTAAAGTCATAAGAAATTTTAAAAAATCAGAACGATTCACTACGACATATCCTTCACGTGAACGTCGTCCGTAGGCCTAACTAAAGCAGGAACATTCAACCGGTTTCATGTCGTAAGCCGACTGACTGGTCACTATCTTTAATAGTACACATGTAATTTGTTTTTGTTTTGATTTTTCAGGAAATAAATATGTACCACGCGCTATCCTCGTCGATCTGGAACCAGGAACCATGGATTCCGTACGATCTGGACCCTTCGGTGCTCTCTTTCGACCAGATAATTTTGTCTTCGGCCAATCGGGGGCCGGAAATAACTGGGCAAAAGGACATTACACGGAAGGTGCCGAGTTGTTAGAAGTTGTACTTGATGTAATGAGAAGAGAATCGGAATGTTGTGACTGTCTACAAGGATTTCAACTCACCCATTCTCTAGGCGGTGGAACAGGGTCCGGAATGGGTACCCTATTAATCAGTAAAATTCGTGAAGAATATCCAGATCGAATCATGAACACCTTCTCTGTCATGCCTTCACCTAAGGTAAATTGATTTTCAAAATACCAGAAATGGATACAAATGGTTACTTCGACAGGTCGCGCTTGTCGTGGTGTTGCCTGTCCAACTCCGTGGGTTTTCCCGGGTTCCAATGCTAAAGACCCCTAGGCGCAAGCCAATCATTCAAATAAAATTAAACCACATTTTAATCCCGAAGTGACCTAATTGGTGACCTAGTCTCTCTCTCCCATGCCCGTCCGCGCGCTAAACCTGTGGTCAATCTAATGGCTAAAATTATCATCCGATTTATTTTATATACAGCATTACGTTCATATTGATTTAATTCAACGATATTTTACCATTATTTCAAGAGGTCAAGAGCTACGGCCTTTGATTGTGTGACCACGTTATTTCTGGTCTTATAAAATTAAGCATGAGTGCAAGTAACTTCTATGTGATTTATTAAACATAGATAAATAAACAAATATTTACAAGAAAGAGAGATCCGATCCGTTCTAAACCATAGCTCACTCTATGTTTGAAATACAATTCTACAAAATATATAATAGACAATTATGACACATTGGCAATTAAACTATAAAATATTGCTTCTAAGTTGAAATCTAAAACAATAGTTCGTTTTATAGAGAGCTTGGTTAATGACCAATACTTAATCCCTCCATTGTTTAGAATTTAATGCTTTGTCTAAATTATATCTGACGTAATAGCCAGTGACTGGTTTAATAAGGTTCTATAGCCTAGGGGCCAGTTGATATGTATGGTGGCCCATGGTTATCATAGAGAAATGTGTAAAAAAATCCACCACAAATATTAAACTGTAAAAATAAATTTGAATGAAAATAAAAATTCGCTGAAAAATAACAAAAAAGAAATCGAAATTAAAAACTAAATTAAATTAAATGAAATAAAACAATAATTTAAATTAAGTTAGATTGAAATTAAAATCGTTTTTGATAAAAACAAAGTAAAATAAATATAAATCAAAAACTGAAATGAAAAAAAAAAAAAAAAAAATTAAAAATATTTTTAAAAAAAAAGTAAGTTTGAAAACTTAAAATTTAAATGAAAAAGAAAATTAAAAAGTTTTTTTTTTTTTTTTTTTTTAAATCGAAAAGTGAAATGAAAACTAAAATACGCATGTCTCTACGTGGCCCATCGTTATCATCAGCCCATCGTTATCATTCAATCGGAATTGTAATCGAACGCGCCGAAACCAGCGTTATTTCCCTTTTCTTCGCGGTCACGTCAGTCAAAAACTTTTGGCATCATGAAATATTATGAATAGAATTGGAATGGATCAAAAAAATGAAATCTGGGCGCGCCTCAAAAAGAGGATGTCTAACAAAAGGACGGCAAAAAAGGACATTGCTTCCTCAAACGGCAAGGTACCACCAAGGGAAATACCGAGCGGAATCTCTCACCCGTATTCCGGCACCCGGATTCGAGATCAAGTTGGCACACATATTCTCTCACCCGTATTCCAACACCCGGAAACATACTAAAACTATGGGGGGATTTTTTAGCGAATTTTTATTTTCATTCAAATTTATTTTTACAGTTTTTAATATTTGTGGTGGATTTTTTACACATTTATTATGATAACCATGGGTCACCATAGATATGTGGTTGTAAAGAGTTTGACTATGTGTTTTTATAAGAACAATATGTCACTCATGCCAGTGTCTGTTTAATTCAACACATATCTTACTTGGGAAATAATTAGGTAAATAAAATATACTCAGCCAAATTAAAAACTTGACACTGATGAATTTCAACAATTTTTTTTTCTGGTAAGTCAAATAAAAGTGTTTCTAACGATAGTAAGTAGTAAGAAGCCTTTAATTTCATAAAATTGTAAAGTCACGTGGATCACGTGACTTTTGAGCATATAAAGATGAAAAACCTGAAAAACACGTGCAAACACAAACACGTGAGGTCAATCGATGCAAGTTTGCTTAAACCGAACACGCACACGTAACTTGAACTGGAAAAACAAATTAAAATTGTTATTTTCATCTTTGTTAGAAAATGCCACGCCTTTCAAGTGTAGTACGTCTACATGCTATAGGTAGGCTCTATGCTGGTCAGTCTGTGGTCACTGTTGCAAGAGCCTTTAATTGTTCACGCCAGACAATAATTAATCTTAGAATGAGAGTGCTTCAAACTGGAACTATTGCCGACCGCCCAAGGGCGGGAGCGCCACGTGTGACGTCACTCCAGGAAGATCAAGCAATACGATTACGTCATCATAGAAACAGATTTGTCACTGCAACCTCCACAAGTAGAGAGATGTTTGGTGGAAGGGTAACTGCACAAACTGTTCGAAATCGCTTGCAGGCTGCTGGTCTTCGAGCTCGGAGGCCCTATAATGGACCAATATTGACACATCTTCATCGCCGTAACCGACTTGTGCGGGCCACAAGACACATAATATTTACTCAAAGACAGTGGAATTCGGTTGTCTTTAGTGACGAATCTCGATTCACTTTGAGATTTGCCGATGGCAGAGTCCGAGTGGACCGCAGACGAGGTGAACGTTACGCTCAAGTATGCGTCAGAGAAGTTGACCGATTTGGTGGCGGCACCGTCATGGTTTGGGGTTCTATTTGTGCACATGGACGTTCTCCTCTTGTTGTTGTCCAAGGGAACTTAAATGCTGTCCAGTACAGGGATCAGATTTTGCAACCTGTTTTTCTTCCGTTTATGCAGAGACATGGGCCTGGACTAACGTTTCAACAAGACAATGCTCGACACCATACAGCAATTGCTACCCAGAATTTTTTAAGAAATGCCGGTGTCCAAGTCCTGGATTGGCCGTCGCTTAGCCCCGACCTTAATTCTATTGAACACATCTGGGACGAACTGGGTCGACGTGTTCGTCAGCAAGTGAATCCACCACTGACGTTGCAGGACCTTCAACATGCTCTTGCTGAGCAGTGGCGACGTCTTCCTCGGGTAGTGTTTACTAATGTTCTGTGATCCATGAGAAGGCGTTGTGTGGCAGTACCAGTACGAGACGCTTTCGGAGGCCACAACCGTTACTAAACACTTTATTCCGATTGTTCTCCAAGTCTGTGAATTTCATTTTGGGGGGTACCGTGACATCACGAACGTTATCAATGTCAAGGACTTTCGGCGAGACGTATTCTTGCTTTCTGTTGATGTCAAGGTCGCCTGTGCACAACATAACACTAAAATAGTTGCCTTAAACCAAATATTAAAAATCTAGTCCCAAAATTCCCGAGTGTCAAGTTTTTAATTTGGCTGAGTATATATTTAAAATATATTAATGTTGTCAAAGATATGTTTACCAAAATGGGAAAAGTAACATTGGTTTTTAATATATATAAATCATATGTCTTGTGTCGGTGGTCATAAGTAACATTAGTTTTTAATATATAGAAATCATATGACTTATGTCGGTCATAATTGCTTTGGAAATTCGTGTGATGTGTTGCAAATGTTTCCAAAAGTGTTCAAGTTCCCTATAAACGAACAACAAGTCGAACCAGGTCAAAAGGTTTACTGAGTCAAACCGCTGTTACGCCATCTTTAACATATTGTTCTGTTGTTGTATATTTCAGGTATCTGACACAGTTGTTGAACCTTATAACGCCACACTCTCTGTTCATCAACTGGTAGAAAATACAGATGAGACATTCTGTATTGATAACGAGGCTCTTTACGACATCTGTTTTCGAACCCTCAAGCTAAGCACACCTACTTACGGCGATCTGAACCATCTCGTGTCAGCAACCATGTCAGGAATTACGACTTGTTTACGTTTCCCCGGACAATTGAACGCTGATTTGCGAAAGCTTGCTGTGAACATGGTGCCCTTTCCTAGACTTCACTTCTTTATGCCCGGATTTGCGCCTCTGACGTCACGCAACTCCCAGCAGTATCGCTCACTCTCCGTACCGGAACTGACGCAGCAGATATTCGATGCCAGAAACATGATGGCTGCTTGCGATCCCCGGCACGGACGATATCTAACCGTGGCAACGATCATGCGCGGTAGGATGTCAATGAAAGAAGTCGACGAACAAATGTTAAAAATTCAAAATAAAAACTCGGCGTATTTTGTTGAATGGATTCCGAACAACGTTAAAATAGCGGTGTGTGACATACCTCCCAGGGGTCTCAAAATGTCCGCCACGTTTATCGGCAACAGTACCGCTATACAAGAAATATTTAAACGTATTTCAGAACAGTTTACGGCCATGTTTAAAAGAAAAGCTTTCCTCCACTGGTATACCGGGGAAGGAATGGATGAGATGGAATTCACTGAAGCGGAATCAAATATGAACGACTTAGTGTCCGAGTATCAGCAATACCAGGATGCAACACTGGATGAAACTGATGATTTCGAAGAAGAGGCTGATGACGTCGTTGAATAAATATTTATATATTTAAATACTTTGTAACAAAAATACATGTGTTATTTGTCATGGCGCTTTTGACAGTTTAATAAGCAGAACTATATAGGATTATCTGTTGATAATTGCATTAAATTTTATATTTTATCATGGCGCTTTACACAATTTATTCAAAAATGTATAAATCTATTTATTAACTGTTGCAATTATAAACCTATTTATTAATTTTTTGCATTTATATTTAACGTACTGCCTACCATGCTTAATGTTATTTAGTTTTGTGGAAAACTCTGAATGAGAGGTGTCAGTAGCTGGAGGAGTGGCGTGCAATGGCGTACCTAGGAATCTGAGCGCCTAGGGCCAAAGAATGATTTCGACCTATTTTACTATAAAAAGAGTAAAAAAAAACAACAACAGTAAAATGATAGGCGTTTCATAATTGTACCGAATAAATGTTATAACAAGTATAATCTTAATATTGTAGTACTAGTTAAACATACATTATGCAAGAACTAAATCGGTCTATTGCAGGTCTTTTTTTAGGCCTGAAATGTTATCTAAATCAACTCTAGATGGCATCGCTAGCCTGCTATCTTTACTGTATTATGAGCCGATTTACTGCATAAATCTTTCCTTGACGGTTTAACGATTAAATTGATAATTGAGACTATGCTGTTTATCGTACTGGCTTTAGTAATGATGATTAAGGCTAGCCGAAAATTTCAACCGCTTAGTTCTCGGTTCATAGTGGATCAATTTGAATGAAATTTTCAGCAAATTGCCTTTACATTATCTAGTTTTTAACTATTATAGTGATAACTGCCAACTCGTTATCGAATCTCCCATAATATATCTTTAATCGTTTTGTGCGGGCGTGGCATGCAGTGGCTTGTCAGTGGTTCTCAACGCCCTGGGGCAAAGACACCTTAGGCACCACACCACGATAAGTCATAATTTCGGCTTAAAGCCTGGCTCGCACGGGTCTTCTCCATTCTGCGTAACCCCTCGTGTCAGTTAGCGTATATCAATGTGCGCTATGTGGAACCAAGATACCGTATGTCGGATTTGGGTGAGGTAAAGGTACAACTGAGGCGCTACAAAAGCCGCATCGTTTTTTAAACACAAATGTGACGCAAATAGTAACGCCCTATAAATCTTTTTGTATACGTTATTAATATCTGAAGACGCCTATAAAGGGATAGACAGCTAGCTTATATTTGATTTAATGTATGTCAGAATGAAGTAAAGTGGTGAATTTTTTACCTGGACGTATTTTTGATTTATGTATGTATCTATCTACCGTACACATAGAAGTACTCGTACTTTAATATAAATATGCATATGTTGTGAAATGTGTTGCGTTTGCTTAGCCTTTTGCGGCAACTGGCGGCCATAAACCACTTGCGGCGACACCAGTGTGAAGCTATGGTTGCGTCATATGACGTACATTTTGCCTAGGTTTAACGCAGCGATAATATGGCGTCACCACGGAGTTACCCTACGTCCCACCTCCGCCAGAGTAACGCACGCCTCTTTGAGACAGGCTTAAGAAGAGGGGCATTTTTTCATGACAGGACAAAACGACCGTCTTCATTAGAAGAAAATCGAAAACCCCATTTCATTTCTTTTCATTTCCCGACATCATTTCACAGCGAAACCAGGACAAAGCTTATCGCTTTAGTCTCTTTCTATAAGAAACAGCTAAGTGGGTAAGACGCCTAGGGGTCGGGTGTTCGATCCCTGCATTGGCAAAGAAAGTTCATCCAGATTTTCCGGCATGGTTCCCCCCTTGTCAGTGAAGCAGGAAGGAGGACCTGACAAGGATAACTGTCTAATCGTTCGGATGGGACGAAAATCCGAGGTCCCGTGTAAAAGATCCCTTGACAGTTGGAATTCGATATATGAGTAGGTCGAAGCGCCGCTGTCAGGGCAAAATTTCCCTCATAGCACAGTGCATGGCGTATACCCGTCTTCATTAGCCCAGTCGGAGCCGAAGTGTAGGACGTTAAACCCCATTTCATTTCATTTCTATAAGAAACACAATTACATAATGTAGTCAGCACTGTAGTATAAACTCGTTACACCTTGTAAAAAGTTGAAATGAAATGGAGGTTTAAGGTCCTACTTTGCTGCACAACAGGGCTATCGAAGACGGGCAGACGCCATACAGGGCGATTTTTCCCGGGCTGCGGCGTGTCGGCCTACTCTTCGCCGAATTCCAACTGTTATTCTACGTACACGCCAACGAGTTCATGTTGCTAGACAGACACTTCGTCATGAACCACTGACGTTTGGAGGAGGGGGTGGGCGTGGAAATTCCGGGGAACTCCTGGATAGTGAACAGGCGCCTTAACCACAAACTCACCACAGCGCCCGTAAAACGCTGAAAGATAAACAAAAATAATGCTAGTAACAAAAGCGAAAATAACTATCGGGCCGATGCCAATCTTGATGCAACGTTCTTCTAAAAATACCAAGTCTCCGCCAATTCGAGTATTGAAACTTTTCATGCTTCTTCTTTTGACAATTGCGCTGTGATTGATGATGTTCGATGTTTGATATGACGTGACAATTTCTAGACGGGGGTGATGACACCATGGTTGAGCCCCGGTTTATATTAGAACACTCGCACTATACATGTAGTTCTCAAGAAACCATAAACATTGACCTCAGACTTGAACTGTGACCTTTTAATTAGTTCATATTTTATTTTACTCTGCCGGTTATATAAAATAATAAATGTCGTCTGAGTTGCTTTATTGTTTACGTCAAAATAGAAACAAAAGGAAAGAGAACGTGATAGCAGATAATATGCAGGGGTTTGTGTATAAATAAAAACGAAGAAATGAAAAAAAAACCAACCCCAAAATAAACCAATTAAAATGATTTATGATATGACGTCAACATAAGAAGAGGAGTGAACTGTCTTGTTCGCTTCACCGTTTAATCTCCCACAGTTTAAAGTTAGCTCGTTCCACTAAGGCTGATTACTTTTGACGTTCTTGTCTGTTATGCCGGGTTGGAATCGTTTGGTCCATATACCTATACCCGTATGAAATGAAATGGGGTTTAACGTCCTACTGTTTTGCCTGGGAAGCGGTACTATGGCCACTGTATACACAGGTACTCGGTGTTTCGTGCCATCCGAACGACTAGACGGATGTCCTTGTCAGACACACGTCCTGCACCACTGACTACTTCTCGGCTAATGCAGGGATCGAACACGCGACCCCCAGGCTAGCGAGCCAGCGTCTTACCCACTTAGCCACCGTGCCCCTCCCCCTCCTCAGTAAATAAGACCTTCAAAGTTTAGCTTTAGATGCAGGCGACTTCGTCCTGCTTTTGACACAATACCCGCCTCTCCCAAATTACAATATGAATCTACGACCATCCTCGACAAGTTCATCGAGTATTTTTCTGACATAACAAGATGTCATACTAGAGAAGCTCTAATTAAGATTGGAAATATGTCAGATCATGAAACGTCATCGGGGGGGGGGCTTGGTAAGGGAAAGTGTATGGTCATTTGGATGGGACGAAAAACCAAGGTCCCATGTACACTTGGGCGTGCACGTAAAACTTTGACAGTTCGAATTCGAAATAAAAGTAAGCCATAGGGCAAAATTACCCTCATAGCACACTTTATGACGTATACCCTTCTGTCGGCGTCGACCAGTAGGAAGTTAAAACTCCATTTCTATTCATATCAGTTAATGCTGATCCTTCTCCTGACATCAAAAGCTGCATAATTATCATAACTCATCATAATATCTAATTATTCATGTCTTAATCAACGCTAAAGTCATTTAGTATTTAATTAAAGGGACAATAAAACTTTTGCTGGCTTTACAGCTCCAGAAAATAAATAATATTACGTGTCGAGCGAAACCACACAAAGAATAGCTGTGAATAGTTGTAAAGTTTAAAGGGACAATAACACTCTTGCTGGCTTGACAGCTCCAAAAAATAAAATATAGCCTTATTCTAAGTACTAGATATGTTAGTGTCCTACCTGTTGTGTAAATTATCCATTACATCCTATTTTACTTGTCCGGAGGGTTCGAAAATATTTTTAATTCCAAGTCAAATTTGAAAAGGTTTACGTTAGGCTTTTCAAATCATTTAGTTGAACTTTTACAATTTTTTAAATTAGGTGTGTTAAGATGAAATTTGTATCATCAATTAATTGGAATATTGTAAAATAGTACAATTTGTTGACCAGAATAAAGATTTTTACATATTATTCAGTTACAACAAGAGTGGTATTGAGCCTTTAAGAAAACAAAAACACGCCACAAAATAGCACCGGTAGATAAACTCGGCGCATGGATTCAATTAGATAAAAAAGGAGGCCCGTCAAGATTTTACATAACACTTATAGACGTCGAATGCTGCATAATATTCAATGCAATACTAATTGTCAATACTAATCGCAATTTGTGGACTGTTATTCGTTTTAGAGATTCAATTTTCACAAAATAGTAATTAGCAAGGGATTCAAAATCCATCATTATGACGATCAGTTGTTTTAACAATCTGATTAAAACACAGATCCTATTTCGTTTCGTTTTTTATAGTTTAAAATTTCTTTTTACTTGTCGTTACTACACTAGGATCTGGAAGAGTTGTTATCATTGGCGTGTCCTGGATGATGTGAGGGTTTAAGCCAATGAAACGGCCCGTTACAGCGAAATTTTGGCGCGTAGTGCACGGAACTGTGGGTAATCCACTAGAAAATCAATGCTGATTGGTTGATTAAATGTCTGACGTCATAGGATCAAAAGCCGCTCGTATGACCTCTGACGCGAGCTATCACTACAACTGGCCAGATCTTCATGTAGTTTAGGCCATCGAAAGTATAAAAAAACGAAACGAAATATAGATCTGTATTTTAATCAGATTTTAATTAGAAAAGTTAAACTTCTTTCATATGTTTACTAGTATTTCTATTAGTTGGTTTATTAGTCCGTTTAATAAACAAAAGAACGAATGGCATGTTGCGGGCCAATATCCGGTGTGTTTGCCAGAAAGTGCAAAACGTAAACTGATATTGACTTGATACATCCGGTACAAGGGGGGTTGGATGGCCTAATGGTTAGCACGTGCTTGCTGTATCATACGAACTGTAATTGAATCAACTGACGTGGTTTCGAATCCCCGGTTGTACGTGACAAGGAGTAGGGTCGCCTGTCCAACCTCGTGGGTTTTCTCCGGGTCCTCCGGTTTCCTCCCACTGCTAAAGACCCCTACGCGCAAGCGAATTAATGAAATAAATTAACCATATGTTAGTCCCGAAATGACCTAGTTTATGTCGAGTGGACGTTGAAACCCATTTCTCTCTCACACACCCGGTACATTAAAGCAGCGATGCGTTATTTATATTTATCGTTAAAATATCAGCTTTCTCACGGTTTAACCCACGCTAATATGCACACTGATTGATTATGTAACATTTGATTAAGAAAACAAAATCAAAATACTAACGCTAGACAAAGTTCCGACTTGGATTGAATCGGATTTAAAATAGGCCCATTAATAATTATAAGCGAGCAGCATAGATCGACAACTTTTAATTCAACGATTTTTAAATTTTTCGACCGATAGTCCTATTAGAGATTCATCTTTCACAATATTGTAGTTTGCACGTGATTACCATTGCCCAGGGGCTTTAAATCATAGTTATCACGCCAGCCTAGAAATTTGCTTTGAAACATTGCAGACATAATGAGTCATTTTATTATGGTTTGTTCGTTTCTCTAACGTCATTATAGCTTGTGTCATCCCAGCTTAATACGACCTACACATGGTCATATTTAAGAATGGGTTTATTCGTTTCGTTAAAAATCATATGATGGTTTATGTTATCCCGGCTTCATACATTTATTCATATTTACCAAGTTTTGTAAAGTAATAAATTTTTGGGGAAACGTGGTGTCACGGTATGTGTCGGTTTCGGGTTTTATGTGAATTATTCAAAATAAAAATAAAGTAGAAAAAAGCCAGACATCGTTTATTCAACTCGACTGAGTACTTCTGACTTCGCACTCTAACAAGGCCAGTGGTGCAGGACGGATGGTCTAGCAAGGACAGCGTGTAGTCGCTCTGATCGGACCACAACCCGGGTTTCCGTGTACACATTTAGTGTACTTAAAATAACCCCTGGGTTTATTCGTTTCGTTAAAAATCATGGTTTATGTTATCCCGGCTTCATACATTTATTCATATTTACCAAGTTTTGTAAAGTAATAAATTTTTGGGGAAACGTGGTGTCACGGTATGTGTCGGTTTCGGGTTTTATGTGAATTATTCAAAATAAAAATAAAGTAGAAAAAAGCCAGACATCGTTTATTCAACTCGACTGAGTACTTCAGTACTTCGCACTCTAACAAGGCCAGTGGTGCAGGACGGATGGTCTAGCAAGGACAGCGTGTAGTCGCTCTGATCGGACCACAACCCGGGTTTCCGTGTACACATTTAGTGTACTTAAAATAACCCCTGGGTTTATTCGTTTCGTTAAAAATCATGGTTTATGTTATCCCGGCTTCATACATTTATTCATATTTACCAAGTTTTGTAAAGTAATAAATTTTTGGGGAAACGTGGTGTCACGGTATGTGTCGGTTTCGGGTTTTATGTGAATTATTCAAAATAAAAATAAAGTAGAAAAAAGCCAGACATCGTTTATTCAACTCGACTGTGTACTTCAGTACTTCGCACTCTAACAAGGCCAGTGGTGCAGGACGGATGGTCTAGCAAGGACAGCGTGTAGTCGCTCGGATCGGACCACAACCCGGGTTTCCGTGTACACATTTAGTGTACTTAAAATAACCCCTTACAGAAGGAATTCGATATGAGTAGGCCGAAGCGTGGCTGTCCGAGCAAAATCTCCCTCATAGCACACTGTATGGCATATGCCCGTCTTCATTAGCCCAGACAGTGCAGAAAAGTAGGACGTTTAACCCCATTTTATTTATTATGCAAGAGCTAAATATGCCTATTGCAGGTCTTTCTTTTGACCTGAAATGGTATCTAAATTATTAATTAGACACAATTAACTCATCCAGGCCATAATCAACTCTCGATGTCATCGTTAGCCTACGATGTTTAGCGGATTGGAATACATTTTTTTGAAAAATAATTAAACATAAAATTAGACATTAATTAACTTGTCCAGGCCATAATCAACTCTCGATGACATCGCTAGCCTGCGATGTTTAATGGATTAGATTCCGATTTGCTGTTCGACTTCCATTCATAATTAAATCAAAAAATGGATAATCGAGACTATGTGTTTTATCCTACCGACTTTAGCAATGATGATCGAGGCTAGCCCCAATATTCAATCGCTAAAATCTCGGTTCAGAGTGGATCAATGTGACTGAAATTTTCAACAAATCCCCTTTACATTATCTAGTTTTTAACTATTATAGTGTGAACTGTCGGCTCTTTATCTAATCTCCCATAATGTATCTTTCAGAAAAGTGGTGTTCGCTACTTGTACTAATACTCTCATTCAGTGAAAAATCGGGCAGCGTTTGCCTATAATATAACACAACACAGTTCTATGGATAACAATCACTATATTATATACACACACAACCCTGAAATATAACACAATTCTGTACACAGAGAGCTATCTACATCGAAAAAAGATCTCTGCTCTGAATGACCGCCATATTAAAAAATTAGTATACTATTGTGTAATGCTGTTCTACTCCGTTTCGGATCTGCCATACACACAAAGAACAAATAAACCTGTTCAATTTTATTGAATTGATACGGAATAAGTACTTCTCACAATTCTCGAAGTATACATATAGTGCTTTCGACTAAAATCGTCGATTTAGGATTTAAAATGTCGTTCAACTAGCTTAGTGTCTGATCTCAGGCGGAGCTAGTTGCAAACAGACAGCTTAAGTTTAGTATGATAAGGCACGTGTCACAGATATTGTCAGACATATATACAGACTTTGATTTATTTATATATAATTCACAAAATTATATCTTATTTCATATTATATTATAGCTACCACTTACAAGCCCTAAATAAGGCACAAATTCAGACAAGTACCAATATTTCTGTTACCTCTCATTCTGACAAGTACAGATTGGTCTTTTCTTCTGTGTTGTTTTTGATATTTATAATACTTGTCGCACACAAAAACCAAATGTCAAGTACAAGTTCATGAGAGACTTCAAGCCTTGTCACTATAATCACCTAATTCGTTCAATGCTTTTTGGTTACATTTATTATTATCGCACAAACATAATCCAAACATCACACGAAATTGGTTCTAATAGTTTGTGAATTGTCAACAATCCACCATCACACAGGCTATGTTCTAGTCCTTGTTGAGTTGTCCAATGTCTCACAAGGTTAATTCTAGCCCTTTGCGACTTATCCAATGTCTCACAAAGTTACTTCTGATCCTTTGTAACTCGCACGATGTCTCACACAATTGATTCTAGTCACACGTACTGTATTCTAGTCCTTTGTGAATCGTCAGCCATCCACCATCAGGCAGACCGCGTTTGGGTCCTCATGTTCGAATTAATTGGGATCTGTTTCTATAACATATTGGCACCATGAAGCAGTGTCCGTTGCCCTTGATGAAATGTCCATTGTCAAACAAGAATAGGTTCATTATTAAAATTATTTAACGGTATAATAGAAAGTTTTGTAGAAACTAATTCATTGGTTTCGTCAGTTTCTTTTTGCACATCTTCGTCTCTATTCTGTATTTTTCTTTCGCTATCCAAACTTATTTCACAATCATTTGGCAAAAAATGTACATTTTCACTAACTGTGTCTATTGGAATACTAACAGAACGCTCGAATACGTTTTCGTTGAAAACGTCATCAGAAAGTGAGTCCGATAAAGTCAGCGAAGGAACTGACGTCAGAGGCACTTCACTGGGAGTCCTTCCCATTGCTATCTCCCCTTTCTTCTTAGGCATAGATAATCCAAGCATTTTCCAAAATTTATCATATTTTTTATTGTCATCTTCTGACGGATATTCTATATAGGTTACGGTATCTAGGATAGATTTTAGATTTTTATCCATCGAATTTATTCCTGAAAGGTCTTCTAATATTATGGGTACTATTTTGTGTTTTAGTTTGAGCATCTCGTGTTGCGCTTTTTGGTATTCTAGCCGGCACCATTCACTGTTAACATAGTTAGGTGTTAAGATCATGATTGTTCGTCTACTGTTCTCGATAGCTTGTATGATACTGTTGGCGATGGCTAGAATAAAAATACAGAAAACCAAATCAGTAATATAACAAAAACAACCCAACAAACATTTAAAATATATTCAACAATATTAAATGTCTGAAAATGAAACTGAACATTAAGGAATCGGCATTAACTGATAACAAAATATTAGGCATGCGCAGAAACAACCATGGCGAGAATACATGTGACCACGAAGGAAAAATGAAAAGAAATGGGGTTTAACGTCCTACTGTCCTGTTACGACTAGGATAATGGAGGACAAGAGGAGCCTAAGACAAATATCTACTTTACTTATTTGGTTTCAATTAAAAAAAATACTGTAACCCTTTAAGATGAATAAGGTATGAGCTAAAGCTACCCATTGCAGATCTTATTTCTGGCTTGAAGTAGTATTTAAATTATTATCTAAACATTTATTAACATTACAAGCCCATAATCAACTCTCTAGATCATCGGATTTTTCATAGTCCATTTTTAAAATATTATAGCAAGAACGACCAACGTGACTAATAAAGCCGAGGACGTTGGGTGGCCGAATGGTTAGCACGTGCGTGCTGTATCACAAGGCCTGTCATTGAGTCAACTGGCGTGGTTTCGAATCTCCGGTTGTACGTGACAAGGAGTAGGGTTGGCTGTCCAGCCTCGTGGGTTTTCTCCGGGTCCTCCGGTTTCCTCCCACTGCTAAAGACCCCTACGCGCAAGCTAATTATTGAAATAAAATTAAACCATGTGTTAGTCCCGAAATGACCTAGTTTGTGTCGAGTGGACGTTAAACCACATTTCTCTCTCTCTAATAAAGACGGCTTCACTCTTAACCGCCATTCTAATATCGAATGTTCTGTTTATCATGTAGATACTGTGATTATACAGTTTTAATAAGAGTAGAAAATTACCTTCTCCTGGCAAGAAATCTCTAAAATGAAGGCATAGTTTGAAGCCAAGTTCTTTCTCTAGTTTGGGATACAACTTGTGAACGACAAAATTCTCGTCATTTTTACTCGACTTGTAGGAAATGAAGGCATCGTATTCTTTACCGTCTGAAAAAAGAGAATATTGGAAATCATGAGTTTTGACAATCTCATTATAATACAGATCTATATTTCGTTTCGTTTTAATATACTTTCGATGACATTTACTACATGAAGATCTGATTAGAAGTAGTAGAAGGTCGTGTCAGGCATCATACGAGCGGATTTTGACCCTATGACGTCAGACATTTGATTATCCAATCAGCGTTGATGTTTCTAACGGGATACCCACAGTTCCGTGCACCGCACGCCAAGAACTGGCCGTAACAGACCGTTTCATTGGCTAATCCCTCACACCAATCAGAACGCGGGTTATATAACAACCCTCCGTATCCTAGTGTAGTACAGACAAGTAAAACGAAAGAATTCGAATTTCGAAGGACTTTATTCTAACGATGAGTTCTAACGTTTTGCATTTCTGTGGGCTAATTCCAACTGTCTAGAGCTCTTTTACGTGCATGCCAACGTGGACATGACACCTCGGTTTTACGTCCTATCCGAAAGATTAACCGTTTATCCTTGCCAGGACGAGGGGGTTGGATGGCTGAATGGTTAGCGTGCGCGCGCTGTATCATAAAGTCTGTCATTGAGTCGACTGGCGTGGTTTCGAATCCCCGGTTGTACGTGGCAAGGAGTAGGGTCGCCTGTCCAACCTCGTGGGTTTTCTCCGGGTCCTCCGGTTTCCTCCCACTGCTAAAGACCCCTACGCGCAAGCGAATTATGTAAATAAAATTAAACCATATGTTAGTTCCAAAATGACCTAGTTTGTGTCGTGTGGACGTTAAACCCCATTTCTCTCTCTCTGTTGCCAGGACGAGGGGAACAGCGTTACTGTTAACTAGATATGTCTTCAATCATTTGTTTTGCGTCCTAAAACTATGAAATGAAAGCGGAGGAGTTACTTTCAGAAGCCGGACAAATTAGAATTCGTAAAAGTTAAAACTGAAAAACCAAATAAATCCAAAGATATCTGAAGAGAAATTATGAAATGGGGTTTAAAGGAGCTAACGTAGCGTCTGGTTATTCCAGTCAACTTCGATAGTATTCTCCTGTGGGGTATGTTTAGCCCCGTTCATCGAGTTACTTCATTACAAATGGCACCAAAAAGCATGGAAATGAAAACCCCGATTAATTCGATTTAATTAATTTACCGTCATCTTCATATTGCTGAAAGTAGTACACCAGTTTTCGGATAGGTAACCATTTCCTCCGATATAAAAAATAGGGCAGAAGTATTAATACTAATCCTATGATGAATATCAGAGCTAAACAAACACCAATCGTATCCCACTGAGTCGAATTTAATTTAATACTTGATTCTGAAAAAAACAACAACATAACATATATAACTAATGTGTCGTAATACTTGATTCTGAAGCAAAATAACATAATAATAGTAGAAGTTTTTGCTGTTGCAAAATCATCAAATGTCAATATAACGTCACGATGTCAAATAAAACCGTTTAGATGAAAATTTACAGTTTAGTAGTACAATTAACCATTGTTTGCTTACAAATGTCCGGATGGTAAACACGTGCACGTTTGATCACCAGGTCTGTCGTTTAGTCAAGCGACCTGGTTTCGAAGATCCGCTTGTACGTGACAAGGAGTAGGATTGCCTGTTCAACTTCGTGGGTTTCCTCCGGGTCCTCTGGTTTCCTCCCATTGATAAAAACCCCTGCGCACAAGCGAATTATTGAAATAAAATTGAACCATGTTTTACTCTCTCTATCTCTCTCTCTCTCTCTCTCTCTCTCAATCCCTCGCTTACAAGAGTTTGATAGCACACAATTTTTATAGGAAACAACTACTGTTTTTTTTTAAATAAGCACGACCTTTCGACAAGTATCCTCGTTCTACCATGGGGTTGAGTTAAGTGGCGTAGTTTCGATACCCCGCTTGTACATGACAAGGAGCGGAGTTCGCTTGTCCAACCTCGTGGGTTTTCTCCAGGTCCTCCGGTTTCCTCCCACATCCAAAGACCCCTACCCGCAAGCAAATTATTTAAATTAGAGATTATGTTTAATAACGGTTTCCTTACAACCGTTGTCATTAAAACATAATCGATTTTTGTGAAAAATTATTTCCAAATGTCCGGGCAAAATTTCCCTCATAGCATACTGTATGGTGTATGGCCGTCTTCAGTAGCCCAGTTCGGAGCAGAAAAGTAGGACATTAAACCCCATTTCATTTGTTTCCTTAAAGATACATTATGGGAGATTAGTTAAAGAGCTGGCAATTCTCACTAAAATAGTTAAAAACTAGATAACCACTATGAACCGAGATTTTAGCATTGAATATTGGGGCTAGGATAAAAAAAAAAACATAGTCTCGATTATACATTTTTTGATTTAATTATGAATGGAAGTCGAACAACAAATCGGAACGTAATCCAATAAACATCGCGGGCTAGCGATGCCATTGAGAGTTGATTATGGTCTGGATAAGTTAATTAATGTCTAATTAATAATTTAGATAACATTTCAGGCTTAATGAAACACTTGTAGTAGACAGATTTAGCTCTTGCATAATGTATGTTTAAAATGGATAGCTGTTTAAAATGTCTTCCTTTATGTAAGATTAATATATAGAAAAAATATTCTCAGTGCAAGGAGAATAGAAAAGGATTTAAATAAACAACTGCAAATAGGTCAACACAAACACGTACACCCAACAAATTTAAAATTGTCCTTTGTATTATTTATGAGTTCACAATCGGTGCCGAGTTCATAATATACTATAAAAATGGTTTTAACATAAATAATGCGCCTTGTCGCAGGTTGTAGTCGCTTCATATTTTGTATAGTGCGAGTTTCTGAACAGCATTTGAGGGCTGTTAATTTAAATCTTGCAAACCGCTATATTGTGAGAGTTGGATCTCTTCTATAGGGTAGTTATTTCCAATAAAAGTATGGTAAATTTAGTGTGGAAAGTAGAGACGCAGAAATCTTACTAGAAAAAAAATACTGGATTCCGTGAAATATACCCATGGGGCAAGCCAGGGTATCATTAACTGACAGCCCGACGGATTATTGTCTGAAAGCTTGACCTAGGGAGCGGTTGTTATTTCTTGATCGAATGGTTAAGCGGCTTTGGGAATATTGAGACGTTAAAACGTACAACAGACTCTGCATTTAAACGAAGGAAAAAAAAGGTTAGGCTTCAATATGTATGGTAAATGGACAGACAGTAAGTAATGACAAATACATTCTGAAAAAAGGCCCTCCCTCAATCAAGTTACCAGATAAATATGGCTTCTAAAAATAGATTTTTTTGTATATTTTGGGGTATTTCCCCGCGAATACAATGTTTTGAGAGGGATTAGAAATATTTGATAGATTAATTAGCAGACGATATATAAACTGGTTATGTTCAAAACCAACCAGTAGTTAAAAGCCGTGAAAAATCAGATATCAGAAGAAAAATGGAAAAGACAAGGAAGTCCTGAAACGGTTTGTTTGTTTACTCAGATTGGTTGTAGTCAACATCGCTCTATCACCATGGAAAAAAATCTGATAAAAAGAAGAAATATGAACGATATCGGGAGTGGTATACACTGTACGAACGAATAGTTTACGCGGGAGACGAAATGAAATGAAATGTGGTTTAACGTCCTACTGTTCTGCTCTGAACTGGGCTAATGAAGACGGGCATACGCCATACAGTGTGCTATGAGGGAAATTTTGCCTGGACAGCGGCACTACGGCCTACTCTTATATCGAATTCCTACTGTCAAAGGATCTTTTACGTGGATGCCAATGTGTACACGGGACCTCTGTTTTTCGTCCCATCCGAACGACTAGACAGCTGTCCTTTTCAAACCCTCCGTCCTGCACGGAACCACGCCGGAAAATCTGGATGAACCTGCTCGGCCAATGCAGGGATCGAACACCCGACCTCCGGGCTCGCGAGCCACCGCCTTACCCTACCCGGGAGACAAATTTCCAGTTTTCATAATTTTCATAATAACTCAATTATTATTATATGTCAAGTTGATTATTAAATGCTGCATCAAATACCAAATCAATAGCACCATTACATTTCTTGTTAAAATAACTCTGGTTATTATGACATAATTTTAAAATGCTAAGTTCAGCCGTTTCGGTTTCTATAGGGAACGAAAATAATAAAACAAAATTTGCTCTTTGACTATTAGAGTATAGAATAACTTTATTTGATAATAAAGACGGGTACACGCCATGCAATGAAGGTATTTTGTACACGGATAGCGGCGCTATTATTAGGGACCTTTCGCACTGGTACAAAAACGAACACGAAAACAAACATATGTTCGCCTAATACGCGGTTTCGCAATCCGACGTACGATAATAGGTAAGTGACGCCAATTTCCATTCTATGAACTTCTCGGTCCAAGCAAAGTTTAAAATCTATTTTTTAACAGATGTACAACAAATCAAGCGGATTATTGCATTTGGGCATATTCTACACACTCTACACGAGTGATTCTCAACCAGTCTTCCTAAGTGTGCGAAATTTTGAACGGCACACTAAGAAAATGCGAAAAACCACGTGATCCAAGGCCTCGAAAAATTGTGGAGAATTCAATATGTGAGACAAGAAATATTTACGTTTGCATACCCACGCGTAACATTCTTCACAAGCTGAACTCCCATGTACAGGTTGACGTCACAAGTACACACGAATCGATAACGTTTTCGTTTACGTATTCGTACCGATGCGAAAGGTCCCTACTATCTCTTGTTTCGAATTCACCTGCAGACATGGCCCTGTTTTTTTGTCCCATCCGAACACCTAGACCATGCTTAGCTACGGGTATAGGGGAACCAAGCAGAACAATCCTGATAAACTTGTTCGGCTGATGTCGGGGTCTTTGACGTCTATCGCCACTGGCAAGTGGAATCCAGACTGGGAAATCCAGTGGATATGTCTCCGTCAACTACGGAACCGAATCCGGGACCTCCAAGTTAGTGAGCCAGGACCATACCCACTGAGAAACTGTAGCTCCCAAAGTAGTCGAAAATTGTCAAAAAGGAAACGTCAATCAACTGAATCTCCTGTTTTAACTTTTATTATGACAAAGGGAGAAGACTATCCACCCTCTTCTCAAGACATCGAATTTTAACACCGTGTTTTAAAGTGGCATTTTATTAAGTATAAATTTATTGGATGTTAAAATTTGTAAAAAACCAATAACAACAACAGGAAACGTCGATCAATCAATCAATCATAAAGTAATTAATATTTACATGTATGTCACCATGACCGAACTAATTATAAAGGTTCAATCAAACACTCCAATATCGAACGGTGTTGTGGCGGAGAGGTGTGAAAGCTTAAAGATACATTATGTAAGATTTAGATAAAGTGCTAGCCGGTCTTGCTATAAATGGTTCAAAATTAGATAATGCAAAATGGACACATTGAAGATTTCATTCAAACTTCAACATTCAGTTCATATTGAAACGTTGCATGTAATAAACCAAGAAGTAGTAAATCCATAAAGTTGTGTTATTATGAATATTATACCTCTACAACATTCAGTATTTACAACGAACAGATGAATTGAAAAGTTCGCAACATGCGGCATAGACAAATCAGTGCCAACTATCAAAGCTTTTGCTGGGTATCTTTTTCAATTTGACTGAATCCAAGCTTGTAGATTATCTACCGTTTATAATTTGTTTTTGTTGTCTTGGTTATATGTTAGTGTTTATTAAGCAATGACAAATTAGATTTTTGTTTGTTAGACCTTTACTAATTTCTTTACTTTGAGAGAGAGAGAGAGAGAGAGAGGGGGGGTGGGGTAACGTCCGTTCGACACAAACTAAGTCATTTCGGGACTAACGTAGCTTTAGGCGTACTGAACTTTAGCTGTTGGCGGAACCTGATTGACACAATAGATATACTCTATGACACAATATATATATACTCTTTGACACAATAGATATACTTTTTCACATATTCTTTGACACAATAGATACTTTTCTCTGTGGTTTATTGGTCAGGTGTCGCAAGAAATGTCACCATATTTAGTTATTATAAAAATCATGGATGAATTTTTTGATATTAAACAATATCTGAAAATATTTAGGAAATTCTGGTTTTATAGTTGCAAATAGTGCAATCAATGTTTACAATTAAAATCAATATAAAAGAACTGAGTCACACGGTGTTTCAGGGCAATATGTAAATAAATGATTTTTCGTTCTGTCCGAAAGACTATAATATGTAGTTTTTTTAGTATTATTGAATGACCATTTCGATAATATATCATGGTTTACCTTATCTTTAAATCTGAACGTAATGTTCGATCAAAATAATATTTGTTTCTATTTAACCAGAATATGAATTTAAGTGACTGATGTAGTTTAGGCAACTGAATTTACCCAAAGGTTAAACATACATTATGCAAGAGCTAAATCTACCTATTGCAGGTCTTTCTTTAGGCCTGAAATGTTATCTAAATTATTAATTAGACATTAATTAACTTATCCAGACCATAATCAACTCTCGATGGCATCGCTAGCCTGCGATGTTTATTGGATTAGATACCGATTTGCTGTTCGACTTCCATTCATAATTTAATCATGAAATGGATAATCGAGAATATGTTTTTTATCCTAACGACTTTAGTAATGATGATCGAGGCTAGACCGAAAATTCAAACGCTAAAATCTCGGTTCACAGTGGATGAATGTGACTGAAAATTTCAGCAAATTCCCTTTACATTATTTAGTTTTTAACTATTATAGTGAGAACTGCCAGATCTTTATCTAATCTCCCATAATGTATCTTTAAATGAAACAGAATGGGGTTTAATGTCCCACTTTTCTGCACCAACACCGCAAGATTCAAACTCATTAGGTTTCGTTTTTTTTTATTTTTAGGATGTATTTTTACATCACGGCTATTTCCTGTTCAACTAAATTCGAATCCATCAAGATGGAAGAAACATTAATGAATTTATAAATCACTCTAGTCTCAACTTCAATTCGATCATTAAGGTTGATAAAACAGTTATAAACATCTTATAAAACCACCTTTCCCTATAAATCTCCTATTGGCGGTCTTTTCGCTATAAATAATAATGAAAAAATAGAATGATCGAGAGGAAGATGGCGGAATGACAGATTGATCTATTGTTATTGACTAATCAGAAACGAGAACAGTTGATATCCGTGAACCTGTGATTTATTATTGTGGTTACTCAACGTTTATTTTTAACTTAATTACTACTTGTCAAATTATAAAATCTATCGTTTGTTTTAATCAAGTTATTTATATAAAAAAACAACATTAACATTGTTAGCATTGTTAGCATTTAGAGATGGGAATTAACGTGAATTCAAGACGAAGTGCGTCAATGACTACCGTCAAACCACAGCGTATTTGTCTCTACGCGACAGAAAAACCCTCCGATTATTCAGTTTGTGCAGGGATAAAGCTGCTAATCCACATCAGCCTCCGACCCGAAATAAATATGAAAATCTCTAAAAATAAAACTGAAAGAAAACAACGAATTCGGCGGAGAAAATTTGATATGAGCAGGAACATATGTAGGAGGCCAATCGCAGTTGCGTTGTGGGTGAAGGGTGCCGGGGTGGGACTGTGGCTATTTGCCCGGAAACTTTCTTTGTCACCCGTATTCATTTTACAATTATACAACGATATTTCTATGATATACTATCTCATTCTTTGATGTTTGTTCCCGATAAACGGAAATACATTGCTCGAAAAATGGACAGTTCACCGAATCTGCAGCCCCGCCCCCTTACGCCCATGAGCAGATATTGAATGCATTTCAGAAAAGGTGTTTTTTGTTGTTGTTTTTCTAAAAAGGTAGGAAGGTAAGGTACAGTTGTCAGTGCCTCACTTAAATTGTTTGACAGCTCTGGGGAAGAATAGCCGACGGTCCATTTACCGGCTACCGATTTTGGTTTGAATGGTACCAGCTGTAAGAATAATCTATAACCTGCTGGAAATCTGTAAGTTATAAATAAAGCAATGCTTTTTTTTACTTGGAATTCAGACGCTGTTACGATATATCTACAGCTAACATTTAACGTATGTTTCTTTGGGTTGATATTTATCACAAAGCAATAAATGTTACTTGCCATTTAGAAGCCAGTACAACTTACGACATATCAACGACTTACTATTCACTTATGTTTCTTTAGTTTGAAATTTATCGCAATTTAGATGAAGAGAGGCCCTGGGCTAGTACACGTAGGACATCCCTCCCACTTCCCCACCCTCACAATTCGAGGAAGATAGAAGTGCACTAGAGCAAAGTCGCATGACAGATGTTTAAGACTACAGTTCATAAGAAAAACCTATGACAGTGCACTGGTCACAAAGTAATAATTTTTACTTGGAATTCAGAAGCCGTTACTATTTGTGATATATGAACAACTCACCTTTAACGTATGTTTCTTTGGGTTGAAATTTATCACAGAGTAATCCCGTATAATTCCAGCTACAAGCACAGACCTGTTTCTCGTGTATTACACAGAGACCATGATCTCCACAATCTAATCCACATGCCTCATCACAGAAATGTCCCGTCCAATGTTTATGGCAGTTGCATTGCACGGTGCCATCGCTTATAATACAGTGTCCGTTACGACAATTAAATCCAGGCGGACAGGTCGTGTTGTCCGCCCTGGAGTTCGTTCCTCGGACACATCGAGGTTTAAAATCATGAACACCGGGTAAATTAATACAAAACCCATCTAAACAGTTTTCACAGAAATAGCCCGTTCTGTTTTGTGAATCTAAATGAGATAAAACTTCTTTAAGGGTAGATTTATCAGTTTTCGGTACTTTTGAGCTGGTGTTCGGCGGATCTATGGTCATAGACGAACTGTCGGTTGCTTCTAAAGTCCAAACAGTCGGAGGTGCTTCTACCGGGTGGATGGAAGGAATGTCCGTAAATAAATTGGCATCATATGAGGTATGAAGACGAATATCAACCAGAGACGATGCCAATGGCCTGGTCGGTTTTATTTCGTCCATTGATGAGCTTGCAGTGATTGTGTGTTTAGAGAACATGGATACACTGTGACCAACCTCTGACGAGATACTGAACACAGATGCAATACTGTCAGAATTTAATTCCTGCACTGGCGATGGCGTAATGGGTTGACTTTCCAGTGAATTGTCCGGTCGGATCTGTGTTCCGTTATTGATAGTCACGTTGGTCGCCGATTGGTTGGCATTGTCAGATTCTGTGAGAACCCTAACAACTTCCGTACACAAGTCGTCATTGGTACCCGTAGCGCAGACACACAGTTGAACACATAGTCCAATTTCTAGAACACAACCGCCTTCTGCATTACAGATAGTGGGAAACACCTCACAACATGTCTGGTGCTTGTCAGCTGATCCAGAAGCATTATCCGATCGCTTATGTCTCACGACACCAGAATGTTTAACATCTCCGTCTAGATTTGAAATAAACAGCTTGTCTTTGAATCTTGTTTCCTTGGGAATGATTGGAATCACCATGTCACTTGTTAACAGAGTGTCATATCCAACAGATGTCCCATCCACACTTACAGACTTTCCAGATACTGCATGATTGGTTTGAAACCCCATTACTATAACTATCACTAAGATCCAATACAATTTAATCATTATCATTTAATATCGCTGGCGGTTTCTTTCATTATTGAATTCATCACTTCTAAGACATCGATAGATCGTTCTAAACTTTCAATGAAAATTGGACGACTTCCATCAAAATATCCGAAAATAGGTTCT